AGTCTAGCTTAAAATTATAAATTGATTCCGTTTGAATTCCATTATAAAAAACTTTGTTCATTCACTAAGCACCACATAAGGTGTGACGATTTTATTAAAGGAAAAATAGTTTAGGACCAAGTCTCAATATTCTCAGAGGTTACGGAATAATTTTCTTAAAATAATCACCTTCACATTCGGGTATTGTCGTTAATTTATTTTTCTTGGTTTTTGTTTTTTGATTAAAATCGATAATAAAATTTAAAAAAACTTCCGGTAACGTTTAAAAACTTCTCAAGTCAAAATTTTATAAATCGACAAAATGGTGAGTTTATTAAATGTTTTACGACTTTATTTTTTCAAATGATCAATTGTGCAAGGAAAAAATTCTGGGAACCAGAACTAAAATATTCAAGTGAAAAACTATTATTTCAATTGCAATAATTATTAGAAATACACTAATTTAATTACAACAGAACTTAAGAAGGTTAAAAGTAACATAGCAAACTTAACAGTTTATATATGATCGACGATCAATCATTCGTGCATAGATGAACATCAATGCTTGTGAATATAGCAACGAATACTAAATTAATTAAGATTAGGAGAAATTAATTCATTATTCTTTTTATACTTTAATCATTTCAGTTACCTTGACAAATTCCATCATAGAAACTAATTCAACATTACCATAAGTGAGACCATATTTATTTTTAGTATGAAAAGTTTCTCCATAATTTGTAATCTTTAATCGTCGGTTAATATTGATTTGATGATTTTTTTTATGATTGATGGCTAACAATGAAACGAATCGTTTGCTTGATATTTGAAAACTATTGTTACAGACGGCAAACATTAGATGTATGCCAAAGATGCAAATTACTTGCTCAAACCAGATAGAACCATAAAAATATCTTATTATCCAATTCTCTGTACGGTATGTCAAAAATATTAATTGATAACAATTAAATGGAATATTGATTGCCAAAAATATCAATAATGCTCGACTATATATGGAGCCAAGACCGAAACGTTTTAAATTTTTTGTATGACAAGTTTGAAATCGTGATAATGTATGCCAAATATAGTTGGATAACTGTCCGCTATCATTATTGAATAGAAATTGTCTGGTTTGCCAACATAATACTGTTAATATGACCATAAATGCCATAGCTGTTGTAGCCATCATTATACTGGCATGTGCATAAATGAAGAAAGAAAGAGAAAACAATAGCCGATTCAGAAAAATTGGAACGATTAGCAAATAACCATACAATCCTTGGTTAAAGAATTTACTCCAATGCTGAACGATAAATCGAAAAGCAGTTAAGAAAAATGCAATCACACAGAAATCTGTTCCAACAAATATGAATAAAATAATTTATTATATCAGTGGATTTCTTACCAATGTAAATGATAAAATAATATATTAAATGTAACCAAGTTTTCATCGTAAATTCAACGAAATCGACTGCCGAATATTTCCTATAATGATAAGGTCGAAAAAATACTCGTTTCTGTTTACGTATCAGTACACGATCCAAGAGATCGGTATTTGGATTATTATAATAAAGCATATTAAGATATATTATTGATTGAATTGTCAATAATGCAACAAATAGATTGGCATAATTGTCCAGACCATTCTGACGAATTATATTTCCATTCAAAATGATCCATATTAAATCATTTGAATGTTCGGCACTATATGCAAAATATATCAAACGTAACGCAAAAAAACCCATGATTATGAACATCATACGTAATGGATCACGAACAAATTGTCGGAAAATTTTTTGATTTTGTTCACGAATCCCAACTATTCGATAACAGTTAAAATAATGACCAAGATATGCTAGAGGACGATTCATAAACAACGGCCGAATCATACTTAAAGCATTAGTAATATTACTCAAAATGGAACCATCGAAAAGATTAGATACAATTGAATATAGATAATCATATAAAATAGATAAAAATATGAATAATTTTTTCATCGTTGATTAAATTATCTTAGTTGTTATTAAAATGATCGGCGAAATGATAATGTAAAATTATATCTGAATTTGGTTTGCAGCAACAATTCAGATTGAATAATAAATTATTATTATTATTTATTATTATTATTTTTTTTTTTGACAAAATATATTATATTCTCAAATTTTATAATTTGATATTGTTATTATTGTCACTATTGTTATCACAATCAATTTTTTTTCTCCTTAATTGAAGGTGCAAACAAATAAAATCTACTTTTTTTTGAATTTTGGTCGTTAATTTTTATTTAATGCTCGAATGAATCGTTAATGGAAGTGGGAAATTAGGATAAAATTCTGTTGAATAATAAAAATATGTTAATCTTTTCATGGACAAAATTAAAAGAGCGGAATATCGATTTATGTTGTTTCAAATATTTTTATTGTAACGAGTAAATTCATAAGAGTTCATCAAGTTGACTTTATGATCTTCGCAAAACAATGTGAATATAGAGGAACATGAATAACTGAGAACAATTGAACGGAACATTCGGTAATAAACATATAAGCAACGCTCTTGAATAAATATTACCAAGTTGAATTCGTTGCAAATTTTTTGTTTGGCGTTTTTGAAAATATTTTAAACTTTTCCATATAACCATTGGTCTTTTATTATGATGAACATGATGAAGCAGTTGTTTGGTTTGCCAAAAAAATACATAAACAACGAGGAGATAAGCGATAACAACAGTGGACATCAAAATGCATGTATGGCCAAAAAGATAGATGCTGATTAAAAGGATAAAACGATTGGTTAAACATTGAACCACTCTGATGTAGCCCAAAATTCTTATCTCAAAGAATTCATTTTGATTATTCCAAATATATTCGATAGCAGTTTTGACAAGTACAATCATAAATAAATCTAAAATCATGAATATTATAACTATTTCATTGTGATTATGGAAAAACTTACCAAGAGATATTTTCAAAAAACCCATTATATATAGATAAATTTTCACGCATAAACAGACAAAATCGGAAGCAAAATGATGCTGATATCTATATGGAGGATAAAATAATTTATTTTCTCGCAACATTAATACATGATCCAATGTTTCAGCGGTGGGATTGCCCAAATATAACATATTTAAAAATATAGTATTTTGTATTAGTAATGCATTGATGAATATGATTACATAATATTCGAATCCAGTCTTTTTTAATAAATCATAGTCGATATCTTTCCATAATGGATCTTGTATATAATAACAATGTATAGCGATATAAGTATTACGTATTATTAACCAAATCATCAATAAATTCAGCAACCGAATTGGATCATGTATTTTTCTTTGAAATTGTTGTTGATTGTCTCTTGCTAATCGTTGACAATCAAAATAAGATTGCAGATATTTGGATGGCTTAAATTTAATTAATGGTAATAAAAGTTCAAAAATGCCTTTCATATTCGCAAAGAAATTATTCTTAATTCTAGACGTTCTCCGCCAATAAATGTTAATATTTTTAAATAATTTTTCAAACATTTTTCAATATTCAACAATTTTTGCACTTATGTGACCAGAAACAAAATAAATACAAATGAATTCACAAATATTGACAAATTCTGAAATTTAAGTTTGTTTTTAAAAGTAGTTTGAATTGAAGCTAATGTTTTATGGTCATATGTCGTGTTAATGATACCTAGCACTTGCACACATATATAAGATATGGTGACTAATTAATTTGAACATAGTGAAAATCATTATTTTTTTCAAACGTTAGAATTTAAAATCAATAGAATTTATTGATATAAATTAAAAAATTAACAACAAAATTTATTATTTTTCGAAATTAAGGTACAATGAGAAAACTTATTTTGCAGTGAAGAATTGCAGTTATTTTCAGATAATATTTTATGAAAATTTTTCATTTGAGCTAATTTCATATATTTTGTAAATCTTGTAGCATTTAAATAACAATTTAACAATGTGATGGTATGTAGAATCCAGATTCATAAGTTGGTCGAAATTATATTCGAGTTTTGAACCAAAAAACTAAACGCTTATTTTTTTCTTTTGCAAGAAACTTATTTTATTCGGTTTTTTCCGGTTTTTTTATCAGAGAAAAAACAATCATTCAAACGTACATAAAATTAGACAATTCAATTTTAAAAATATAAAAATTTGGATCATTTTCTTTATTTAGGAACCAAACAATTAATTTTTTCTATGAAATAAGTCATCCGGGTAAAGTTTTTAAGCAAAATTTCAATCGAAAAAAAAGAAAAGAAAAATTAAATTCAAATAGCAGCCATGAATTTGAATGATTTTACGAATAATTAATCAATAAGTACACCATATTTTCCATAATTATCATTCGATTCAATCATACCCAATTTACCGTACTGTCCAATTATATCAGATTTTTCGCAATCATAATAATCTTGATTTATACCATAACCCATCATTGGTATGACACGTTGTTCACCAAGACCAGAATAAGGAACAGCATAGCTTATTGTAGCCAATACCAAAACCAATGTAGCGATCATGATTAACGATTGTTTCATCATTTTTTAGTTTTTTGTTCTTGTTTTTGAAGTTTAAATTATCGATTCAATGTGAATGATTTTGACAACCAAAACGATCGACATTTATTTATATAGCTNAATAGAACGATTCATACTCTTTACGAATTAATACACGATTTAATAATACAAATGTTGGGTTGCTCTGGTATAACATATTCAAATAAATAATGGATTGTATCATTAATGCAGATATGAATAGAATTGCATAATTATCGAATCCATTTGCGTTTAATGAATGATAATCGATATCATTCGACAATCGATCCGGTACAAAATAAGAACGTATAGCTATATCCGTATTACGTATTGTTAATATAATCAACAAAGAGCTAAAAAATCGAATTTGGCCATGTATTTTTCTTTCAAATTGTTGTTGATTTTCATCTGCTAATCGATGATAACTAAAATAAGATTGCAGATATTTTGATGGATTATATTTGATTAATGGTAACAAAATTTCAAAAATGCCTTTCATATTTACAAAGAAATTATTCTTTATTCTTGATGATCGTTGCCAATAATTGATAATTTTTTTGATTAATTTTTCAAACATTTTCGATTTTTTTTTTTGTATTTTCAATTCTTTCCCCAAGATCGACGCATTGAACAAACTCAAAACAAAAAATGATCGAATAAATTTAAAAATTTGCGAATCTTAAAACTTTTAACTGACAAATACAAAGGTATTCGAAGGTCATTACAATCAAAATCCATAATTTTTTCATTTTTTCAAGTTGACAAAAATGATTTCAAATTAATGCTCAAGTTTTTGAATCATTATTTTTGTTTTTGTCAAACCGGAATTTTGTTTTCAAAATTTCCGGAAATTTCCCAAATTTGTTTTTCATAAGAATTTTGAATCAATTTTTTTTCCATTTTCATTTCATAAATTGTCTGGTTC